GTTTGAGCAGCCACATGCACATTTGTGGCCCACTGAAGATCATTTTTCAGGGCTCTGGCAGTGTTCCTCCTGTCCCTCTTTGCACAAAGGCAGAGGTAGCGGTCCTGATGCTGGGTTGTTGCCCTCCTAAAGCCTTCTCTTGTCTCCTGGTAGCTCCTCCATGCTCTGGACACCACTCTGACAGACACAGCAAACCTTATTGCCACAGCTCACATTGATGTGCCATCCTGGATGAGCTGCACTACCTGAGCCACTTGTGTGGGTTGTAGACTCCGTCTCATGCTACCACTAGAGGGAAAGCACTGCCAGCATTCAAAAGTGACCAAACCATCAGCCAGAAAGCATAGGAACTGAGAAGTGGTCTGTGGTCACCACCTGCAGAGCCACTCTTTTATTGGGGATGTCTTGCTACCTGCCTATGCTTTCCACCTCTTGTCTATTCCATTTGCACAACAGCATGTGAAATTGATTGTCAATCAGTGTTGCTACCTAAGTGGACAGTTTGATTTCACAGAAGTGTGATTGACTTGGAGTTACATTGTGTTGTTTAAGTGTCCCCTTTATTTTTTTGAGCAGTGTATATTACCTACCCTGAAACATTTCAACATTAAGGATCAATCTCTGCAGCTTTGCAGTTCTATAAACACTTATCTGGGAGCAAGCATCACTCAGAACACTGGTACTTACTTCTGATGAATTATGCTATAAAGGTTTTAAAAAGCAATAAGCTATCTGATTACAAGTAAAGAGGATTTAATGAACATAATCTTTATCATTGCCAGGACTATAAACAAAATGAGACAGGTTACCAACTGTTCAGATTTTTGACAAATCTCATTGATTGAAGCCTAACTATACAAGTGCAAATAACTGAGGGTTATTCTTCAACTTAATTTCACTATGCTGCTGAACAATATCAACATAGAAATTCAAGCCCCTAATTTGTGGTTTCAATGACATATCCATTCACCAAATATAAAATATTCTTTACTTTAACTATGGGGACCTAGCGTAGCATGTTTATATTGTTTAGAATTGTATTTAATTATGAATTTTGTAGTTCTAAAGTTTCAAAATTCTCATATGATTATATATAGGGATAAGGAAAACATTTGTTCAATTTGTATTTTAATGCAAATATGATTAATATTGAGTTTTCAAACTGGGAAAGGAAATAAAATTATTCTCCAGCCTTCTGGAAGCCACAGAAAAGCATACATGACCTCATTTTATGTTTTGTTCTAACAGAACATTTGAGAGGTTTTTGTTTAAAACAACATTTTGACTAATGTTGACGTGCTTTCTGGTAATGTCCTACTGCTCATGCCCTAGAGGAGCAAGTGGGTTTTAATTTTGTGGTTTTACATTTTGCATAGATTTGCACATATACCAGCTTGACAGGGAATAACTGTGGAGAGTAGAGAGAATGGTCTTGATAGAGAAAGGGAAGTTCTGTTACCAAGGCTACAAACAGTTAAATATGGGTTAAGCCCATATAAAGATATTTTATGAAAACACATAAGGCAAGCATCTCTCTAAGGTAAGAGGAGAAACACATTCAGGCTTGGAAAATTCTGTTAATGAAGTTTTAATATCTTCAGCATCTTTTTCTTGAAATGGTCTACCTTGCAGGACTGACAATGATGATATTATTAAAAAATAATCTTCTTCTTCTTCTTCTTTCTTCTTTTTCTTCAGCGTTTGTCTCGCGCTCGGGCGAGGTCCGCTAATGTCCTTGAGTACTGCTTCCACACCTCTCTGTCTGCCACGTGTGTCGGGTCTGCCTTCGCGATCTCTAGATCGGCCTTGATCGTGTCCATCCAGCGTTGTTTAGGTCTACCACGCGGTCTCGCTCCTCCGACAGTCACCTTCATTACAGATTTGGTGATGGATTCTTCCTTGGCGCGGCTCACGTGGCCGAACCATCGTAGCCGGGACTGCCTCATGACCGTGGGGATGGGCACGACGTTGAACCGTCTACGCACTTCTTCGTTCCTGACGCGATCGAGTAGGGTGAGGCCTACCGACCATCGGAGCATTCGCATCTCCATTATCTGGAGTCTGCTTTCGACTTCTTTGGTCGTCGGCCAGCACTCTGCGCCGTATATGGCCACGGGGCGCACCACAGAGTTATAGATTTTCGCCTTCAGGCGCATCGGCATCTTCTTGTCACAGAGGACGCCCGTGACGGACTTCCATTTGCCCCACGCTGCATTGATCCTGGCTGCCACCTCAGTTTGTAGTAGGCCTTCTTCCCCAAGAGTAGTTCCCAGGTACTTGAAGGTGGAGGCGCGCGGTAGCTCCTGCCCGTTCACGTGGATGGAGCCTGTCATTTCATTGTCAGTGGTCAGGTATTCGGACTTCTTTAGGTTCAGCCGGAGCCCGAACTGCTCGAGGCGGTCGTGCCACTGTTGGACTCGGTGCTCTAGTTCAGCCTTGCACAGGTTGGCCAGGAACACATCATCGGCGTAGAGCAGCGTCCATGGGGCGGGCGTGTACAGGTCGTGTGTAATTGTGTCCATCACCAGAATGAACAGCAGTGGTGAGAGAGCAGAGCCCTGGTGTACGCCGACGGTAATATTAAACTCCTCTGATATCCCAGCTGCCGCTTTTACACGGCTTTTGTGACATCTGTATAGGAGTTGGACCCATTGTACGAGCAGCTCAGGCACGCCGTGGTCTCGCAGTGCGTACCAGATGAGATCGTGCGGGACTCGGTCGAAGGCCTTTTCCAAGTCTAGGAAGGCGGTGTGGAGCGGGATTTTCTTCTCTCTGTGAGCCTCCATCAGCATCCGCACACCGAAGATGGCGTCGGTGGTGCCGCAGTTCTTGATGAATCCAGCCTGGTTGACGCTGATGTCAACGATGTCCCGAATGCGCTTATCAAGGACGCGTTCAAAGATCTTCATAGTGTGTGACAGTAACCTGACCGGTCTGTAGTTGGAGCAGTCCGCTGGGCTGCCCTTTCCCTTCCAGATCGGAACAGTGGTGCTGCGGTACCAGTCGTGTGGCACTTTTCCCGTGGAGACGATGTTGTTGAACAGCTCGCACAGCCACAATGCCGAGCCCGGTAGTGCCTTTTTCCAGAAGTCGGCAGGGATGTCGTCTGGTCCTGTTGCCTTACCGTTTTTCATGGCCTTGATGGCGTCGGCGACCTCGCTGGCATAAATGCCTGAGACTGGGCCTTCAACTGGGTCACCTCGCGGGGTTCGTGGGTGTGGGAACTCCTCGGTGGAGATCTTCTCGAAGTATTGCCGCCACCTCTCCGCAGCGTCTCTGGGGTTGACGATCAAATTTCCCCTTTCGTCGTTGATCCCATGAAACTGGTCAATGTCCAGGGTCTTCCTGTGTCTGCTTTTGGCTAGGCGGTAGATCTCATTCTCGCCTTCTCGCGTGTTCAGCTTCTCGTAGATGTCATCGTAGTGGGAGCTTCTGGCTGTCGCTACTGCTTTCTTGGCTGCCTTTTTGGCCGCCTTGTATTCGCAGAGCTTCTCGCTGGTCTTGTCCTGAAGAAAGGCCTTGTAGAGCCGTTTCTTCAGGTGTACGGCATCTTGTACTTCCGGTGTCCAGAGCCATGTATCTCGTTCGATGCGTCTCCGTCCTGGCTTGGTGCAACCAAGCTGTTGGCAGCCGGCAGTGTGAACAGTGCTCTTCAGCATGGACCACGCTTCCTGTGGCCCGTCGACCATCTGCAGGAACTGCTCCGGTTTGATGAGGGGTCCCGCCATCTTCTTCTGGTTCCACCACTTGATTCGTGGCTGGTCTGCATTCCTTTTGTCAATCCTGGTCTTGGGCTTGCTGATCCTGATCTTCGCCATCAGCGGCCTGTGCTGACTGCTCGATTCGTACGGGTACACCTTGGCGTTGAGCATGTTTTTAGCGGCTCTTCGTCGTACGATGATGTAGTCGATCTGTGTGTGGTGGCTCCCGTTTCTGCTATGGTAGGTGAGGAGTTGAGATTCTCGCCTAATGAAGCAGGTATTCATGATGGTCATATCATGGGAGTCGGCAAAGTCCAGGATCCTCTGGCCATTCTCATTCGTATCGCCTGTGCCGTGCCCACCGTGGCACTGGTGTCCGTTTTTGTCCCGCCCTACATGACCATTCAGGTCGCCCGAGATGATGATGTCGTCTTCGTGTGGGATCTGCCTGAGTTGGATGTCGAGCAGTTCCCAGAAGGTATCCTTCTCCTCCTCGTGACATCCGGTCTGAGGGGCGTAGGCGGACAAGATGTGTAGGCGCTGCCTCTCGGTCGCTACGACAATTATCATCAGTCGTTCTGTGAGGCGCTTAACTTCTGCGACGGAACTTTGCCAGCTTGGACTGACAACCACTGCTACACCGCCGTGGTTTTCCTTACAGCTGGTGTATATGATCTTGTAGCCGTCTATAGTCGTAGCCTTGTTGCCCTTCCAGCGAGTTTCCTGGAGGCAGCAGATGTCCAGCTTCCTGTCCCGCATGGCCCTGACGATCTCAGTCGAGTGTCCAGTCAGCGAATCCACGTTCCAGGTGGCCACCTTGAGCGTCTGGCAGTCCTCTGTTCCCCGCTTGCGTTTTTTCACACGGCCGTGCTTTCCGCGTGGACCATTTTGTTGATTTTTGGCGCAGGCCAATGGTCTCCTGCGCCCGTCGGCTCCCCCGAACGCGGTAGCATTGGACGTGTGTTTTGTAGTGGACGTTTCCATCATGTTGATGCGGCATTTGAGTACTCCAGCCGGCCTGTCGCGTGGGCCTGTCGTCGGAGGGTCTGCTCTCAGTTACGGTCAGCGTTTGACGGCTTCGCGCATCCATATTAAAAAATAATGTTCCGATGAATCACTGCTATAATAATCTATTCAAACTGAATCAATAAAATAAGTACCTTCCATGGTGAATCATAGTTACCAGCCAAATCCTGCATCCTGGTTGAATTTTTTACTCAGAAACTACAACTTCCTCATCTTCTTAATTAGTGCACTTGTTACTATTCTAGACATACTTCAGTAGAGCTGCCATTAAACTAATCAGATGCTGCTGCTTTCATTTCTCAAACCTATAGTCTGCAGGTCTTTTGTGGCCTACAGTGATACTGCACATAGTTCTCAGCTGCTAAGGATTTTCTGGAAAGAAAGCAACATTATTCCATATTCTTGTCAGTGGACATAATAAGTAAAGTATGAAAAAAACTAGAATGATAGAGTGATGGAAACTAGGAGGAAGGGAAAAGGAGGGTGACAGCAATAAAAATTTATTGTGCATTTACTATGCACACAGCAGGAAAACATCTAGTAAAATTAGGAAAGTAGCTTACTGATGTTGCCAGGATCTACAGTAGAACCTAGGCTGAAAAGAAATGTGTCAAAGGATAGCTGTACTTTTGTCAGTCCTCTAAAGTAGGTCAGGTCAGGAATAGACACCATGTGGATTGCAGGAATGGTACTTTATTATAGGATATAGCAACAGAATCTTAAAAGTTTCTCTTGATCCCATCTTACACCATACAGAATCAAGGCAGGCTTGCTTTGAGGCTTTTCTCTCACACAATTTTAACTTTCCCAAGATTGAGTTGTGATTTTTCCTTAACAGTTCATCCATTCCTTCATCATGTAAGGAATCTCCATATTTGTTTATACCTCCCATCCAGTGGTGGTATTCTACTGGTTCGGCCCAGTTCTACTGATCTGGTAGGGCCAATGAGCAGCGGAGACAGAACTGGTTCTCTCTGCCACTCTGCTGTTGGGCCCACCCACCCACCAGCGCTCCCATACTCACCTTTATTCCCTGTTTTTCAAGCGCAGCTGCTTTGTGCAGCACAGCAGAGTGCTGTGCAGCAGCTGCTGAAGTAACAGGGAGTGCAGGCTTGCAGGAGGTGAGTTGGAATGCTTCTGCACCTGGGCAAACACCTCTGCACCTGCGCAAAGTGCATGTTCGGCATGCACACGCACACTGTTATGTCCTCGGGACTAACACAAGTTCTCCATCAGGTCCGTCCATCCTGTGGGGGCGTTTGCAACCCCCATTGGCTGGCTCCCTTCGACAGCCGGCTATAAAAGCCGGCTGCTAGGTCGAGCCAGTCGCTGCTCGCTAGCTAGTCTGCTGTTAGCTGCAGACGCGACAGCCCCCTTTATTCCTGTGAATAAAGCGTGTTACAGAATGCTCTGGTGTGGCCTCCCCTTTCTTCGGAACATAACATTGGCGACGAAGGTGGGATCTGGCCAACCAGCAGCAACTAACAAGAGCTGAATCACACACCACAACGCTGAACTGTAGCCGCGTCGCTGAGAGCTCGGTCAGTTGTGGATTGCGGAAGTGAAAGCAGAGCGTGTAGCCGCTCGTTAAAAAAGCTACGTGAAAGTAGGGCACTGAAAACCTCAGCCGCCCAGCATTGAGCACAGAATCCAACCGTCACAGTTCGGATTCTGCTGTTAGCGAAGTTCCGGCGCTGCACTCACAGCCGCCAGGATACAATTAGGCGCACATTTTGAATAGCTGTCAGCACGGGGCTACAGCCATAGCCGCCTACGCCCTTGTAAGGGTGCGATTTTCAAACTGAAGTCAGTTACGGCTATTCAGCCATAGCCACATAGAGCGTGTAACCCAGAGAGATCCTATAGAGCTGAAGCAGCACTGCGTACTGCAGCTGCCACACTTATCAGGGCCATTGCATTCCCAGTGAGATTGGTCAGTCTACAACAGACTGAACTTCAACATGAATTCAAATCCAGCATTTCCACCATTCAAACCAGATGAAGACAAGTGGGACTCTTACAGGAACCGCTTCAATCACTACATTGATGCCATCGGGCTGGCCGATGCTACAGAGAACAGGAAGAAGTCGTACTTCCTGAGTTACTGCGGGGCCGCAGTATTTGATACTGCCACAGCGCTATTCGCCCCCAGAGAATTGAAGAACGTTCCTTGGTCCGAGCTGTTGGAGACACTCTCCAATCATTACTCCCCAAAGCCATCACAGATAGCGAGACGCTTCGCCTTTCGTATGAGGAAGCAAGCAGATGGGGAATCTGTCAATCAGTATATGGCCACTTTGAGAACCGCAGCACTCCACTGCGAATTCAGAAATTACCTAGACGATATGCTCCTGGATCAACTCGTCTGTGGAGTCAGAGATATAAAATTACAGAGGCGTTTGCTGGCCAGGAAAGACCTCAACCTCACTCAGGCAATCGAAGAAGCTTTGGCAGCAGAACTAGCAACTCAGTCGGCTGCTGAAATTCAAGGTAGCGCAACCAAAGCCAACCCGGTCACTGTCCACTCCGAGGAAGTGGTAAGCGAAGAAGACTCCATAGAGCACTCAGAGGTCCATCGCCTCAAACCCTTCAAACAGCCTCAGGTAGGAGCTAGACTAAAAAACAGCAGCACACCTAAACACAACCTGTTGTGCCTCTCCTGCGGGGGGTCCCATGCAAGAACAACTTGCAGGTTTAGGAACGCCACCTGCAATAATTGCAACAAGAAGGGCCACATCGCCAGGGCCTGCCAGGCAACGCACACAACTCCACAAAGGTCATCATCCTTTTACTCTACTTCCGAGCCACCCAGGCAAGTAGAAAATTGTTATACGTGTTACCAGGCTAACCATACCTTTTTGACCCCTAATAAAATCACACTTTCTATCCATCTAGAAGGTAAACCCTGCCTTATGGAAGTCGACACCGGGTCAGCGCTCTCGATCATCTCGTGGAGCACGCTCAAGAAAATACGACCTACCCTGTCCAGGAAGCAGCTCCAGAGAAGTCGCCTCACCTTGAGGGATTATCAAGGGAAGAATATTCCAGTACTCGGAACAGGCAAGTTCCTTGTTAGATTCAAATCCTTTAAAGGCCATCTGCCTTTGGTGGTGGTGGATGGTGCCCTCCCTATCCTTTTGGGGTTGGATTGGTTCCCCTATCTCGGCCTTAGCTTAATGGGAGTACATGCTGTCTCACCTTCCGATATCGACACTCTATTCTCAGATTATGCTGATGTATTCAGCAATGAATTGGGCTGTTACAACGGTACGCCCATTTCTTTTTCAGTGGACCCGCAAGCTGTTCCCATCCGCTTGAAACCACGGAGAGTACCATTTGCTCTGCGTTCTAAGCTGGATGCAGAACTAGATAAATTGCTTAAGCAAGGGGTGATCGAGCCCACAGATTTTGCTAAATGGGAGACTCCAATTGTCACACCCCTTAAAAAAGATGGCAGTATAAGAATGTGTTCTGACTACAAGACCACAATCAACCGCTATCTACAGACTAGCGCATATCCAGTCCCAGTAATCCAACACTTACTACACACATTTGAACCGGGAACCATATTCGCCAAATTGGATATGTCACAGGCGTACCAGCAATTTCCTGTGGATAACCAAACGGCTGAATTGCAAACAATTGTCACCCACAGAGGGGCATTTCGATGCAAGCGCCTCCAATTTGGCGTTAGCGTCGCCCCAGGTATTTTCCAGTCATTAATGGAATGGATACTGCAAGGCCTCCCTGGCGTAGTTCCGTACTTTGATGACATCTTGGTTTCAGCCAGGGACAGACCCCAACTTTTCCTCAGAGTCAGAGCGGTATTGGATAGGTTTAGGCAGCATGGCCTCAAACTAAAAAGGGAAAAATGTGCCATCGCCACTAAGCAGGTGGACTTTCTTGGGTATAAAATAGACGCCTCAGGCATCCACCTGGTGGAGTCCAAGGTCAAAGCCATTCACGAGGCACCCACTCCTTCTTCCAAGTCTGAATTACAAGCCTTCCTGGGTCTGCTAAATTTCTATGCGTCGTTCCTACCCCACAAGGCGTCAGTAGCCGAACCGTTGCATAGACTTCTAGACAAAAACACTCCCTGGCATTGGGGACCCAAAGAGGAACACGCCTTTAAGGCCGTCAAAACTCTAATCACTTCAGACGCTGTCCTAATTCAATTCGACCAGCGCCTCCCTCTAGTCTTAGCTGCAGATGCCTCACCTTTTGGAATTGGGGCTGTTTTAAGCCACAGACTCCCCAACGGCACCGAAGCTCCAATCGCATTCTTTTCTCGAACCCTGTCAACAACCGAGCGTAACTATAGCCAAATCGACAAAGAGGCCCTAGCCGCCGTTGCTGCGGTCAAAAAATTCCATGAATTCCTTTTTGGGCACAATTTTGAACTTGTCACAGATCACAAACCTCTGTTGGGACTCCTCTCAGGAGAAAAACAAACACCGCAAGTCTTGTCTCCCAGGATGACTAGGTGGACATTATTCCTGGCGGCTTACTCATACAAACTGGTTCACCGCCCAGGAAAAAACCTTAGCCACGCCGACGCTATCAGCCGCTGCCCGTTGCCAGCACCTGTGGAGGACCCGGCCCCGGTCCATGCAATTTTCGATGCCAGTGAGTTTAACATCCCAGTCACCGCCGGTGACATAGCTCTCCACTCCAAGAAAGACAAACTTATCGCCCAGGTCCTGGACTGGGTACGGAGGGGGTGGCCGGGCAGTAATCTGTCAACTGATTTTTCACCGTTTAAAACCCGCCAGCAGGAACTTTCCAGTTTACAGGGCTGCCTACTATGGGGGACCAGAGTGGTCATTCCAAACCACTGCGTATGCCCGTCCTGAAAGCGTTACACGAGGGGCACCCCGGCATCGTCCGGATGAAAGCATTGGCTCGGAGTTATGTATGGTGGCCCGGCATGGACGACGAAATCGCGAAATGGGTAAGCTCCTGCCGCCCCTGCCAAGAATCCAGGCCAGCACCACCGATGGCTACCCCAACCAAATGGGAGAGTGCCAACGCACCGTGGTCACGACTACACATTGACCTGGCAGGTCCCTTCCACGGCAAGACTTTCTTAGTGGTCGTGGATTCATTCTCCAAATGGATAGATGTGGCCCTCCTACTCACAACTACCACCCGAGCAGTTGCCCAGGCTCTGACCCGCTTATTTGTTACACATGGTCTACCTGACACCATAGTCTTTGATAATGGCCCCCAATTTGCCTCCACAGAATTCAGCCGGTATGTCACCAACCTGGGCATCCGGCATATCCTAACGGCTCCCTTTCACCCTGCCAGCAATGGGTTGGCAGAGAGAGCCGTTAGGACAGTGAAAGAAGCATTGGCAAAATTCACTCAAGATGACTGGCACTCCAGACTCTCTCGTTTTCTTTTAAGCCAACACTCGACCCCTTGTACTGTCACAAACAAATCCCCCGCCGAGTTACTGATGGGCAGACGCTTAAGGACAGTACTAGATAGACTGCATCCCCACTACTGCCCTGATACACCAATTGGGTCTAACAGTAGGGTCAGGAGTTTTATGTTACAGGACCAAGTGTTCGCCAGAAACTACGCAGGCGATCCACTGTGGGTGCCCGGAAAGATCGTGGCCATCACCGGTCCAAGATCATACCGCGTCCAGCTAGAAGATGGTCGTATATGGCGGAGGCATCTGGACCAGATAAGAAGTCGCCAGAGCGAACATGCCAACGCTGATCCAGGGACTCCGGTGACTGTCCAATCGCCGCATCCGAATCCCAGCTGCGACCTCCAGAGTGACCAGTCATCACCAGCCGAGCCAAGAGAACGGACGGTAGACCGGGACCGTCCTACAGAGGCATCAGCCGTTCCAACCAGCGACACCCCCGGGTTGCGTGACAATGACAATTTAACAATCCAACCCGGGGGCTGTGACCATTCCCATACACCAGACCGGGGCCCAGTTCGATCCGAGGGTCCAGCAGAGCCAGTTCCGGACTCCCAGAACTCCATGCCACCTTGTGTCTCGCCAGAACTGCGCCGGTCTGGACGCTCGCACAAGCCGCCCGCTTATTTAAAGGACTACTCGTGTTCGTATCTGGGGGGAAGGAGTGTTATGTCCTCGGGACTAACACAAGTTCTCCATCAGGTCCGTCCATCCTGTGGGGGCGTTTGCAACCCCCATTGGCTGGCTCCCTTCGACAGCCGGCTATAAAAGCCGGCTGCTAGGTCGAGCCAGTCGCTGCTCGCTAGCTAGTCTGCTGTTAGCTGCAGACGCGACAGCCCCCTTTATTCCTGTGAATAAAGCGTGTTACAGAATGCTCTGGTGTGGCCTCCCCTTTCTTCGGAACTTAACACACACAAAGTGTGTACACATGTGCAAAGTGCGCCCACCAGCCACACCCACTGAACCAGTGGTAAAAATCTTTGAATCCCATCACTGCTCCCATCCCTACTTTATGATGCTGCCACAATCAGGATCAAAATCAAGGAATTTAGAATAACAGAGTTGGAAGTGTCCTTAGAAGTCTTCTATTCCAATCTTCTAGGCAGGAAACTCCATGCCATTTTGGACAAATGATTATCCAATCTTTTCTTAAAAACTTACAGTGTTGGAGCATTTACAACTTCTGGAGGCAAATTATTCCACTATTTCTCCTTAGTTCTAGGTTGCTTCTCTCCTTGATTGTTTCCACCCATTGCTTCTTGTCCTCCACTCAGGTGCTTTGGGGAATAGCTTGACTCCCACTTCTTTGTGGCAGCCCCTGAGATATTGGAACACTGCTATTATATCTCCCCTAGTCCTTCTTTTCATCAGACTAGACACACCCAGTTCCAGCAACTGTTCTCTATATGCTTCAGCCATTTAGGATAATGTCATTTCAATTCAGAGGGCTAAATCAAAGTCTGATTTTAATAAGGAACACTGCCAGATGTGGATAAAGTGAAATAAGGAAAAAGTAGCATTGTTTCATAGTAAATATACTTATATTCAGTGCAATACATTGGCATTATTCATTTCCTTTCAATTTTGACCAAACTGAAAATTTTGTATCAATATGGAAAAAGGTTTCAAAGATGTAGCTTCAAGCTATTGAACTAATTCTCATATGACAACTGCATAAACTTGATTTTATAAAGGCAATACAACAAATACAACAGTAAGATTCTTGGAAATAATGGGAAAAGGTGCTTTTATCAAAAGGCTGGATTATATGATTTTTTTTTGTTTTGTTTTTTGGCTTGAGGAAGAAGAGATTTTCACTTCTCACCCAAGAAGCTTCATCAAGTGTGTTGTATTTAGTAGCCTTTCCCCCCGATGTGTGTAGATTCAGATTGAAAATCTTCAGGGATCTAATCTGTAAGTTTTTTACACTTTCACGATCCTAAACATGGATGGATCTTACCGCCTAAATAAAACCTGCAGCAGCAAAACCTAAGTCTTAACTTATTCATAAAGGTAAACTAAAAGTAGCAAAATGGAAACATTACTGCCAACATAAGATCCAAAAGCAAAGAAGAAAAATGGGGATGTATTATAAAAGTAATGAATTAGAAATACTATGAGGATTATGGTGCTTGCGGAGGAGAAACAAAACATACTTAAGGAATTAAACATGAAATTGATGCTAAGTTACACTGAAAAGAAGTCCTTTCTTGTATGTGTGGAAATGCAAGTTCTGGTTGGAGAGCAGCTAATCATAGATTGAAATTCAGTAAATGCAAAATTTAAGCTTTTGCTTAGCTTTCAAAAATGTACCCTTTATTCCTACTAAATTAAATCTCATCATCACAAGAAGAAGCCTCCTGAGGGTTCTGTCTCTTTATCAGCATCTAGCATAAAATCCAGTTTAAAATTTTCTTCTTGATTTTAATCTGAATACTCTTCTGGCTCTATGGTAGTGGCCGAGCCCCATCAAAATGGAGCATCATAGTCCAACTTTCTCCACTGCCTTTTCTATTCAGTCTTCACAGCATGATTTGTATGATTATCATAATAAAAAACTGTCTCTTGCAATGTGTCTCAAACATTTTGTTGTCTCAAACATTGTGCTGTTTACTGTGCACAATTGTAGAAAAATGAAAAGCAAGGTTGCTTCTTAAATCTGTCAACAACTATTCATCTATTCCTAGAGTCAGATTTGGAAATCTACTATCTCTTGAAATTCTTATTAGATTTGTATGTATTATATGGCACAAAGAATTAGTCGGTTGACCTTTTAAGTAAAAAACACTCCTTTTATTCTAGGAGCTGGTTAGGTACCTTGGCATTTTGCAGTTTTCCTAAAATTTGTTCCAGAAAAGCAGTATATACATGCTGAATTAATTGGAGCTGAACTCCAAAATAACTGGAGGCTGCTTGCTCATTTTAGAATAAAGAGATTATATCATATCATAATGCCCTTTTTGGTCAAAGCATTCACATTTTGATTACCCTTTTGATTGTATCCTTTTGTAAATGCAAACCATCACACTCACTTGCACCTTCTTTTTCTTCTTCTTCATCATCATCATCATCATCATGAAAAGTTGGTTTAGGATAAAATAATGTTGCTGTCAGGAACTTTAAATTGATTTTGCTTCCTTTCAATAATAATTTAAATTATTTCAACATTTCAAAAATGCACCCAAATACAATCTTGTACATTTTATGTTAGAAAAAAAGATTATTTGATTAAAGTTCTTTTGAGCCAAAAACTCAAACAAAATATTGAGTTAATATAAAAGTAGACTGGTAATTAAATTCCAATTTACACATTAGTCCAGGAAGTGAAAGTCAGGTCAGATGCAAGTCACTGTTATATCAAAATTCACAATGAACAAATATCTTTATCATGTTGAGATACCTCTTCTTCTCCCTTAAGCTACATTAAATTCAAAATGAAGTTTACACTCTTGTGGTCTATACTTCAAGTTGTCTTCTGAGAACCACTTCTCTTCTCATGCCAACAAAAGTGCCTGGAACATTCTTCTTCTTTTAGCTATAACTGCCACAAACATTGTAAATGTCTACGGACATTCACAGTCCTCTCACATGTACTTTTGCAAGAGGCAATTGGTCTTTCTGGTTTTTCTTTGAAAATGCTTTGCTTCTCATCCAAGAAGCTTCTTCAGCTCTGACCGGAGGGTGGGAAATGGAAGGATTAATATTCCTTGCAGAAGCTGGTAATTTACATTATTTTAGACAGTTGTTGAGGCCACTTGGAGGTTTACTCAAGTGACTCAGAGTCACTTGAGTAATGCAAATGGATGTGGAGACTTCTTGGAATTACTGAAATAACTGTTTTGTAGACTGGAGATAGATGAAAACATATCCCTCAATTTTGACATAAATGGACTCTTTGACCCGCTTTGAAACCAGCGGTCCTCTCTGTCCAAAATGTGGGCTTTTCAATCTTCAAAAGAGTGGTCTTTGTCTTTTAATACAGATCAACTGCTGAATCTTGTCCCTATGGGTTTGTTCTACTATGTTGTGATATGCATTTATGAAGTGGTTGTTTTATTTCCCAATGTACAGAATTGCACATCTCAATGCATTGTACTACATTCAGACACAAACTGAGCAATTTGATATATGCAGTACCATGTGGTGAGATGTGAGGTACAGGAACAGTACCTCATTATAATATCATGGGTAAACAATATGATAATTGATAATTAAGTTTCTCCTTAACTGTGGATTTTTTTAAAAAAGTGTACTACATGGGCAAGAATAAAACAGCTCATTAAGAAAACAATAAGAAGGAGAGGCTGTGTACCAATTATGCTTTTGTTTATTCTATCCAATATAGTACAGGGCTATTCTTTTATTTTATTGCCAATAATTTTTTTTATTTTATTGTTAATAAATTATTTTACCTTTTCTATTCTGCTGTTGAGAATGCATTAACTGAATTTCAAAATTGAGGTTGTTGCAATTTGCAATAGATCTGTAGTCACATCACTCGCTCTCTTTCTCCCCTATGGTTTACCAATGTGCACAAATATACAAAAGCATGTTAATTCATATGCACAATTGCATCATTTTTTAAACTTTGGTTTACTCAACATGGGTACGTATAATTATATTGCCCAAATCCTAGTACAAACAAGAATGCAAATAGGATGGAATCAGGTCATGGCCTTGTGATAATTTCCTGAAATTAATACTAAATAAAAGGAAGGAGAATGCTAATCAAAATTCAGGGTACAGCAGTGAAAACAAAGATTTTTATTTTTTGTTTTCAGCATTTCTGAATCTGCAGATGTGATACCATCTCCCTTTATCCATGTGTATGTGCATATGTGTGTAACTTTATCCATGTGCGTATGTGTGTAACTAGAAACAGATCAATTCAAACGCTATCCCACTTAATATCCAGTGCCAAACCTGAAAGGCAATTCAGAAACTGAAGGTTCTTGTTTACATTGTGTAATACAGAAAATAGTATTATTCTGTACAATTTTCTGTGCTACCCAATTCAGCTATAAAGTTTTGATATGTTAGCAAAATTAGGTGGCTTTATAACTATCCAACTGATGAACTGATGATGTTACCTAGTCAGGTAACATCATATATAACAGAATAACAGATTTGGAAAGGACCTTGGAGGTCTTTTAGTCCAATTCCCTGCTCAAGCAGGAGACCCTATAGTGTTTCAGACAAACTGTTAGGCTTTGTTCAGACAAATACGTTGACTGATTTTGATGCTAGGTATCTTTCATTCTTTTCATCCTCTACAGTCTCCTATATTTTGAGGTGTTTCTTATTCCCTCTTTCCACACTTCAATTATTTAGAACAAATCTTCACAACTTGTAGCCCTTACATGAAAGAAGGTGAAAAGAATCACCCTCTTCACTGTAGTTGAACACTCTATATATCTTGTACACAGATTTCTTTTTTTAATTTTTAGTCATCAGTAATCAAGTAAAGGGTGAAATTATCCTTATGTTAACTGAAGATGAAATTTGGGTAATCCATAACTTATGACCACAACTGGGGTTGGGGCTTCCATCACTAATCTATTTGAATCATGTGACTAAGAGAATCCAAGTTCCCTCATTTACTTTGCTTGCCAAAAGACCCCTGGAAAGATCACAAATGGTGATCATATGACCACAAGGCAGTCATAAATACATACCAATTGTTAACTGACTGAATTTTGATCAATTGACCATGGGGGCATTGTTTTGATCATAAGTTCAAGAACCTGATAATAAGTCACTTCTTTTAGTGCCATTGTAGCTTTAAACAGTTTTTAAACCAATGGTCATAAATTGAGGGTTACTTACTGTATATGAAGAATAGCAAGAAAAGTTAAGTCCGGAACTGTGTTTAAAATGGTAACAAAAGAATAATAAACTTAATACTTCAGCAAACACTCTGGGAAATAAGTCAGAATTTCAAAGAATTTGGCACATTTATCAGGATGATGATATAGACACTTTATATAATCTATGGGAATTCTGTATATTTGTCAAGAAAAGTGTAACTTTGAAAAAGAAGACAGAACAGTCAGATATTCCAACATGCCTTCTTATTCCAGACAATACTTCAAATAGTATCAGTTCTGATAAAATGTCAGTGTATACGTACACAGAGATGGAGTGGCTCATGAGATACCTCATGTGTTGGACTTCTACATATATGTTCTGTATACATATACAAGGTTCCTTATGTTGTGCTCACAAATTATGTGACCAGCCTGCAGCATGATCATTATCTTCATCAACACGGATAAAACTTTTTAAAGTTTAAAAGCTAAGATATTCCTGTACCACTGCCACTATGAATCCTATATGGTTCCCAGAGCCAGAATGCTATATTAGTTGTTATTTTTAACCTGTAACTAAATGTTGTTTGTTAATTTTGCTATTATACTGTTGTTTTTGGCTGCTGCTTTTGTACCCCACTTAGAGTTGCCTAGACCATAGCAGGTTATATATTCACAAATAAATAAGAATGGTAGTTCTTTCTCAAATTCTCCATTTTGAGCAATTTTAGGAAAGCAAAATCAACAAGAAAAAATAGTCATAATGAAAAATATATATCTAGCATTCATTATTTACACTATTTTAGAACTGTATCTGCTTTAAAAAAAAAATCTATATTCAGAGGTGAAAATGCATTCCTCATTCCCACAATATTTGTTCTTTCACTTTTTCCTTGCCCTCACCTCCATTTCTATTATTCTTATGCATGAAGCAAAGGAAGTCAGAAAGAAATTTGTTCTTGAGAAAACAGCCACTTTCAAGAGAATCTATAATTGGCCAATTGCAACCAAATTGCACTCCAGACTTTGGGAAGAAAATAGATACTGAATGACTGAATTTATGCAACTCTTTTCTAAGACTGTATTTTCTAAAATTCAGCATTGGTGACTGCGAGAATGTTGTATAGTTAGTCCTGGAGAAATTATTTCACAGCATTTGGTAAAGTGTGAACATCTGAATTTTCCATGTCAGTCTGCACATATAATAGCAGGTGAAAAAGTTGCATATGAAAATTACTACATGATTAGAGTGTGCCTGAAAGTGCATGCAGGAGCAGAGTACTTGCAAAGAATCTCATCAAGTGGGTTGTATTTAGTAGCCTTACCCCCATGTGTATAGATTCAGATTGAAAATCTTCAGGGATCTAATCTGTAAGTTTTTCATACAATCATGATCCTAAACATGGATGGATCTCACTGCATGAGCTCTGTACACAAATACATCTAGAGCAGGGATGTGAAACACGTGGCCTGTGGGCCCGATGCATCACATGCTGGCCACGCCCTCACCCAGTTTAGCGAAGGGGAAAAAAGTACCAATACATCACATGACACTGCTGTGAAGATGTGAGTTTGACACTCCTAGGATATATATACTCCAACCTTAGTTAGGCTAAGGTAAAGATAAAGGTTCCCTTTGCACATATGTGCTATTCGTTTCTGGCTCTAAGGGGCGGTGCTCATCTCCATTAAAAAGCCAAAAAGCCAGTGCTGTTCAAAAAGTCTCTGTGGTCATATGACTGGCATGACTAAACACCAAAGGTGCACAGAACACTCTTACCTTCCCACCAAAGTGGTCCCTATTTTTCTACTTGCATTTTTACATGCTTTTGAACTGCTAGGTTAGCAGAAGCTGAGACAAAGTAACAGGAACTCACTCCGTTACATGGTGCTAGGGATTTGAACATCAAGCTGCCAACCTTTCTGATCAACAAGCTCAGCGTCTTAGCAACTGAGCCACCACATCCCTACATTAGTAAGTTAGGTTTAATAAGTTAGTTAATTAATTAAATTAATTAGTTAGGCTAATCCAGTGTTTTAATTTAGTCAGAAGGATAATAGTATGGTTGGTTTGGTGAAGTAGCATGGATATTGTGGTGTTATTTATGGTTGTTTTTAAAATAATAATTATGTGTATGTGCATATGTGTGTGTGAGAGAGAGAGAGAGAGGAAGGAGGGAGGGAGAGAGAGAGAGAGATGGATATGTAAATGATAGATGATAGATGATAGATGATAGATGGATAGATAGATAGATAGATAGATAGATAGATAGATAGATAGATAGATAGATAGATAGTAGGTAGATGATTGGATGGATGGATGGATGGATGATAGGAACAGCAGCTATGTGGTAAATTGGGATGTGATTCAGCAGTATCACCTTGGAAATTATACAAAATTAGTGCACATTCAGGAACATTGTGTTTTAAAAATATGCCAGGTCTATCCTGCAACTAAAGAAAGAGGGATTTACAAAGAAATAAGCATTTATTGGGATATTTATATAAGAAAAAGGGTATATTGGGCAAAAAATAAAATAAAATTGCATTAGACAGTGGATTTTTAAAGTTTTTAATCATTTACAGTGGCTTTGCATATTGCTTGAGATGTGCAAAGATACCTAGTCTCTCTCAAGTCTGGATCAACTCTTGAAAAATAGAACAGTGTATCTTACATTGTTTCTGGGATAGTGCATTTGACTGAATTTCACAGCACAAATAATGGGAAAACTCATTCAGTTTATAAACAGATGGTTACAATTGGCTGTAAATTAGATTTTTCTCTCATTAAGATGGGATAAAATTTGCAGAAAATTTAGCAAATTATAAGTGGAGGAAGAATGCCACATTGCACTGAAAATTATGTTTTACGTGTGCCTAATTTAGATAGGTAAACAGGCAGATGATAGTTAAACAAAAAACCTGCTCAAAATCCTATTTTGAGATGTTTCTATAGCTATTTTCAAACAAATAGATGGAGGAAGAGGCAGCACAAAAGGACAAAGGACAAAAGGAAGAGATTGTAGCAAGGAATAAATGTATAGATAAGGTCTACTCTGAGGAAAAGATATAAGAAAATAGACAATGCAATTGTTAAGTCAATCAAGCAGTGGTGGGATTCAGCCAATTTGCATGAGTTCAGATGAAAATTATTATTAAAGTATTTATTATTATTAAATTACCTCCCTATCAAAATGGATCCTGGGTGTTGTACTGCGCTCAGTGGAGAAATGGGCAATGGAGCATGTGGGAAGGAGAAGGCTGCTTTCACACTTTCTTCTCCCTGCTCCTCCTCCTTCCCTCATGCCGGCCACTTCATTTCCCATTGCTCCATTGCAATGTAGCACCCAGGATCCACTTTGATATTTGGGGGAGGGGAATTTAACAACCGGTTCTCCCAGGGTCAGGTTGCTCGTCGTGGGAGGCTCATCCCACATGTGTGGCGGAGCTGGAGGATGGGGATGGGTCATGACTTCTGACCCTGGGCAAACCAGTTGTTAAATTATTTGAATCCCACCATTGCAGTCAAGTAAATAAATCAACCAAATGTTGACATATTTGCTTATTTACTCACATGCTAATTTTAAAAGACTGTCTATTGCTACCAGTCTTGTAAAACACATTTTTGGTTGCCTTACAACAAAGCACAATAATATTAAAAAATCAATCGTAATAAAGTAGTAAACAATTGTCTAAACCTAAAAGAGTGAGGTAAGCAAAGTTAAGTTATTTCAAGTTTTCTCCACTGCTGTCCCCAGGGTGCTATGATTAGAGCAGCTGATGGCAGTCTGATTGCAATGATCACTGAAATTTCCAAAGCGATCCTGTCAGATACTGAACCCAACACTCACATAAAAATGTTACTCCCAGAAAACCAGGAAGCCAGAAAGCAAAATAAAATATAAACCAGTCCATTTAACTAGTGTGATGGGGATGTTTCCTTTTCTGCCGTTTGTCAGAAATGGTTTAGGGTCTCCCGCTTGGGCGGTGTGTGTGTGTGTGGACTAGATGACCTACAAGGTCCCTTCTAACACTGATTATCTGTTATTCTCAACTGCTATAGAATGGCAGGGCAGTTTTGTGGAGGATCTTGAAGGGGACAGATTTAGAGACAAATTTCTATGTCAATTTCTATATTCAAAAATCCCAAATTGCTCCACTCTGAGTGTCTGAATTCTTGATGTTATCATCCACAGCGTACTAAATACAATAATAAATAGGCCAGATTCAGACAGATAAAAGCATTCCCTGAGAAACATTCATCCTAATCATTGAAATAGTTGAAATTCCTCAGAATATTTCAGAAGCTACTTCTATTTTGTATCCATTCCTTTTGCTTCCTAGTAGATCAGTTCCAGTTCCACTACTAAACCTCACATATGACATGCTTATCCATGGTTAATCTAATTTTTAAGTTCCCACAAAATAGACTAAATTCTTGTTAAGTACATTGTACACTGTCTCAACATTTGTAATCCAGCCTTGACCTCACATACTAAATACTATTTATTGCAATGTTAAATTAGAAAAAAAAATGCAATAGCTTATCCCTTTAAATGATTGTTTTTTCTATAGTAGCTTGCTGTTATCATACAACATTACAATATTTCACAAGTGGATCTTTTGGTATTATCCCCCCCCCCTTTTTTTTTTAACCATTATTTGCATGACACAGCCAGAGCAAACTGATTCGATATTGCTTGGAACCATTTTTTTTTTCTTTTCAAAATAGGCCTGATGCCAGCATGGACATCAGTTTAATTTTCCTCCCAATAAGTCCCTTGACAGAAAACAGAGGATTTTTTTTTTCATCCTATCCATGTCATAAAGACTCTTGATGTAGATTGAAGGAGGGGTAGCCCCATGCATTTTAATTCATTAGAAAACACAATGTGCAGCTATTAGATTTCTATCTATTATCTGATATATGAAGATTAGATAGATAGATAGATAGATAGATAGATAGATAGATAGATAGATAG